ATAAAAGAAAGATAGCGTTGCTAAGTGGTGGATGGCGTAAGATTCCAGCAACCAAAACATTAACTATCGTTTAAGAAGTTTTATAGTGTCTGCTCTCTGTTTGTTTGCTTTGGCTAATGCTCGTGAACTGCTGGAACGAATGTAATTAGAATTCGCAGACAGGTAAACCGTTAAATGTACACTTGTGCAATTTTCGAGTTCTAGTTTCGTTTGAAAGTAAGTCTAGATTTTGTTTAAATGAAGACACTGTCAAATCTATTTATTAGAAATTGACATGCAGAAAGGATTGATGAAAGTAGAGTAACGAAAGAAGTACACAGAGCGGATATGAATGGGGCCGTCGGTAGAGGGCGCCCTAGACAGACATATGTATAGTGACCAGATCATGGCGATATATTAAAGAAGGGCCAAATTAAAAGTACCCTTAACCGACGACCATGCATGAAAAGATTGATGACTGTCGATGAAGCGAAAGAGGTATGTAGGAATCGTAGTAATTGGCGTTCCATAGCCTCTGCCTACCACCATGGGAGACAGACGCAAAGTTGTGTATGTATGTAAAAAGCGAATAGACGTGTTCGTAGTGATATGCTTTATGTAGGACACCAAGCCTCAAAGAACTGGCTCATCCATCGATGTCATTTGCAACATCTACGGGGTGATCGTAACATAACTGGCGAGAAGTTACATCGTATCATTACAAGCGTAAAATAATATAATGTTATCGTTTTGTAAATAACCTTTTTCTTCTACAAGACTCGTTGATAGTAGGTATATTTACAAATTGACGCTAAAACGCAAGCAAACCAAGCGCAATCTAGCGCGAAGATGTTTTTACTCCGAGGACATTGAACTGACGACCCTAGGTGTAACATCTAGCATGATTTTAACGTTCAATTTAAATTCAACCATGTTTTTTGTATGATATGATTGGAATTCGCTGCAAAAAGTTCTTTTACATGCTTGTCTTCCTTCTTTCTTGTAGGGTTAAGTTTAAGATCCGAGTCTTTTGGTCTATCGCTCTTTGGTCTTTTGAGTTATAGCTACGTGAGATACCATGGCACATTTTCGCCTTAAGAGTATTCATAATGATCATTCATATTATTAGACTACTCCTATAGAATAGAAAACCTGGATACTACACTGTTGCTGAAGATTCTTAAACAGAAATTGAATGTCTAGTTTTTTTTCTTCATTTTATCGGTACATGACTGATAAATACACATATCTAGGAAGACACTGATGTAACTGCTAAAGTCACCTCCTCTAATGATGACAGACAAATTATCAAATAAGTACCATCAACTTCAAACGTTCAAGGAATCGTGAAAAAATTGTAGGTGTGGTACATACGTAATTGTTTCTTGCTAACTATGAATTCCAAGTAAATAGTAGGTACCTAATGATGATTTTCCTAGGAGTCCAGTGACAAAATATATTATCTAAGCCACATTTTTGAGAATCCAGAAGCACACATAAATACGCAGACGTTGTAATTTAAATTCGGAAAATTATTTCATAGTTAAACAAGTACCTATCCATAGATAACGAGTCGCGGAGAACCTAACGGGTTACCGGGGCTCCAGCTCAAAGTGTAGGCGAAGGAACGGAGTGGTTTTTAGTCAGTAAGAGTCTGACACTCCCTCCCGCCTCACCTAGTCGGGAGAAATTGTCATTCGACAATTTTCGCCTTAAATAAATCCAACAATTAAAAAAGAAATATCAACCTTTTTTCTTCTTTTAACTAATTACTTACGGCTTGTATGTACGATAGGTAAGTAGTAATCTTGTCAGCCTCATCGTAGCTACCTCGTATTTCTAAAACACGGAACCCATAGCAGACTGACACTTTTTTATTATAAATAATAATATTTATCTTCTCATGATGAAGAACATTAAAGTTATTAAGTGTCGAATGACATAATTATATGTTATTACAGTCATAAAACATAATGCTAGGAAATATTTTATCAACAACAGACAGTATAATTTACTAGTGATTAGGTAAATCAAAAGTTTTAATTGTACTATTGTAGAAGTCTGCACAGTTCTTCTAGGTACTCTAGAATCTAGATATAACGCATAAACTTTAGTCGAGTAGGAAAAGTAATTTTACTTTTGAGTTTGACATAACTTTACGTCAATTTCATCGTACGTCAGTGTCAATGTCATACACAATACCTTTATCGACTTCTTCATTAGTCTTGTGCTTAATAGTTCGCGACTAAGATCACTCAGATCAGTTCGCCGCTCCTAAACGAACTAGTTCGCTCTTTTAGTTCGTCAGCTCCCGACTCGCAGTTGGAGTTGGAATTGGAATGAATCGTATAGGAACTAGGAACGCACTGGCAGCCAAATCGCTCGCTAGTTCGTCAGCTCATGACTTTTCAAGTGAGATCATAATATGTTATCGCATTTTTTAGTTCGGTCCTCACCATAGACTATACATATAAACGACTTCACAATCCTTGTACTTGTACTTTGAAATACGAATTAAGGAACTAAGGAGTTGGGAATGACGTGAACTAGTTCGCATATTTTGAATGTGGGAACGCTCTTTTGAACTAGTTCGTTCGCGAACTACACAAGCCTATTCTTCATTTTATTCGAATATGTTTTGTAGACAACGACAATAATAGCTAGGGTTTAAAATCTTCAAACTCGATTGGGCACAGTGGAGACAAGCGTCAGTTTCATGATACTCTCCAGTAGGTTGTTTTTCCTGTCTTTATTGTCATGAGATTCTTGTTCGTTTGTAAACAATCATACGAAAACATTTGAAAATCTTGTTCAGCAATAGTTTTTATTAATAATAGTTATATTTTGTAAAACATCAGCCGTAAATACACGATATAAAGTCCGAAATAAAATAAATCGACTGATCTGAATAACTAATAGACTTTGTCCTAGCAAGGAATCTCAAATGGTATGTAAAAATAGTCTGGTTCATGAATAAATAGTTATTAAATGTAATTAGGTACAAAGTAGTTACTTATTTGCCCAGATTGAAAACTGAATGAAGTTGTAAGGTACATTACTGATAACGTAATACAGAGCCTACATAAATAAACAATGCTACAATTATGTCAATATTACTACATTATTGAAACAGCTGCTAATTATAGTGATTAATTATAGATTAATTAAAATACTGTCCATTCATTGAATATTTTCTGTTAACCAGACAGGCGACAGAGGCAAATCCAAAATGGCGGCAAGAAGCTGTCAATTTAGGCGCCAAATTCAGCACAGCTGTCAAGACATTTAGAAAATTATGGAGCCAAATTATTTCTTGTAATATTATCTGTGATGTTTAATTATTCAAATAAAACATCTGCTTCTTTTAATTAAGCCAATTGCACGATCAAAACAAACACAAGATTATGTTACCTAGTTATTTAATTTAAAATTGTGCTGTAGGTATTTAGATGTTGTTCTTTAATAGCAGTATATTCTCTAAAACTACTGTCATTTTGCCTACCTCTGATTTAAACCTTGAGCTACAGTAGTGATTAATTCACAAAAAAAAACCGATCAACTTTGGGCAGGGTCACTAGAATTTCAGTCTTATTTGATTCTAACAGAGCTGAAAATGATTTTGAATATTACCTATATCTCAATTTTGATAGATCTTAAAAGTATAGTCCCTCACTGGAATAACTAGTAAATATGTAGTCAGTCACAAGCATATTCACCCTTATACCACTAATCATAAGATAGAAAGTGGATAAACAGACATGTCGCAGACCAGAGATAATAATAATTATATTGATGGCACAGTCAGGATGACTACAATTCAATGATGATTCTGATCAAGACCATGTAATACAATATCCTATACAACGCAATCTAAAAATAAACCTGAGTGGGATCTGAGACTGAGACTCGTACCATCCTATTTATCATTTTATTACGATTTAAATTAATTAGAACTTACATTTAAATTCTTCAGCCAAACTTTGATAAAGTGCAAATTATAAAATTTATGTTTAAATCCCTTATCAGAGGTAATAAATAATTTTTTGAAGCGCAGTAAGCTATGCATTTCTGTTATTTGTTCATAGGATAATTCAAGAATTAAATTGTCAGGTTTCGCATGATAATAAAACCTAATGTATACAGCGTGTTTTTAGTTATTTAATTGCTTCATTTTTTTCTTCGATAAAGAAGCATGGTATCTGTAGTATGTCCAACATAAAGTTTTGGGCTTTATTTTAAAACTGAATTTTAGGTAAATAAGGACGAAGATCTGGAGTAAAATTGCTCAACAATAGTTGTTTAAAAACCAATTCAAATGTGTTTAACATTGTTGTATAAAATTATAGCTGTATACACGGTAACAGACTTAACTATGTGTGTCAAGAAAGTATAATAATATACATACATAATGATGATTAATGTTTTTTTAAAGGGTCATGTTGTATTGTGCAAGGTGCTACCTGTGAGTGTTCACCTAAAGATTTTAAGTATAGCTATAATTATCACCATTTTTATTTTTTAAACTTTTTATCAGTTTTTAATTTTAATTAGGTAGGTTTTTTGTTACATACAATTTAAATTTGAATGAGGAAAATGAAACCCTTATTTATTTGGTTTTTTATCTGTGTATTTTAATCATTTAGGTAGGTAGGTGTTGTTTATGTTTTTTTTTTACTTTGATGTGAAGGTATTTTTGAAAGTATTTTCAGAAGGATTTTTTGGAAAATGTTTTTTTTTAATCAAATTCAGGATGTGTGTGTATCTTTAGATAACAGTTCGTACGTAATTCACTTACATATTACAATATGCGTGATAAAAAATGTATGGTACAAGTATCAAAATACTGTCTTAATATTTATAAACAAACTTCATAAGATCACAATTCATGAAAGAAACCTCACTTAAAATACTGCAATGGTTCTTGCACTCGCTCATACAGCCTGCAACGGACTCATAAACTAGGGAAACAACTTTGTAATAAGTCTTTTCTAGAAAATAGAAAGTTGCACATATCTACTTACCAACGTATTCTGGTACCCCAACCCGGACTCCTCGTCTGAAGTCTCCTCCTTGCCGTGCGGGTTCTTCATTTTCACCAGAATGTTCTAAACTTTTAACACAGAAAACTGAAATATCAAAACAATGCGAATACAGCGGCTCGCCGAGTTTCGCAACTTTTTTTTTCTAAATATACAACAGCGGCAAAGAATCACAGTGTCCGGCGGTGAGCGGCCATCTCCTCGCAACTCGTACAACCAACGTACAAGTGTAATAAGATAATAAGTAATTTATTAACGCAATTTCAAACGAATTGCTCGCGTACCGGTAGATATGTTTAGCACACGTTCAAACCGAACGTCATCGAGTGACCGACTGACAAGTTGACAAAAAGTTGACAAGTGACAGTGCACATTCAAAAGATTGGTACGGCGACCATGAACTTGAACTGTTTCGTTATCTATTTGAAGCCGTATCTAATTGCACTATCAAACTCAATTTATATTTAGCAGTTAGTTTAAGTAATTAAAATCTTGTTTATTTAAATTCAGCTACACGAACGGACCGCGTAAGACATCCAAACGTCATGATATTCCGAACGCAACTAATCTGTGATTTATCAACGTTCCGTTCCGCATGTGATTTGATGTTTATTTATGTAAGTAGTTTCTCATTGTAGCACTCATGATAAATATTTTTATCAGATTAATTTGTTAAGAACATGTGACTATAGCTTCTGTTTATCAGATAAATCTATCGACAAGACATTAAATTTGTCAAAATGAATTTGCATTAAAGTGGATGCGCGCTAATAAAATGAAATAGCGATTAGGTGGTATGAAGTCATCTACGACACCTAATAATTATACAATCAACGGGCATAGCTACGTTATGTAGAAAGGAAACAAACGTCGCCGCGCCACGGTCGTTGTAAAACGTTTAAAAACAAAAGATATTCATCCCATTGTTATTGAGACCATGTTTGTTTGACAATTAGTCACACAATAATTGTTGTAATGTATTTGAAGAGTACGCTGTCATAGTAGGCACAACTTATGAAAATGTATGAGTACAAGTAGATAGTATATGAACAGTAACATTAAAAGGACGAAGTATGATTTCTTTATTTGTCTATTTCGGTTACATTATCCGAGACCTACCTACTTAGGTACGTTGTTACCTACTTACAGCTATAAAACTTTAATAAGTAGGTAAACTTACCTATTCATTGACATGAAATATTAAATAGGTACTTATCTACTTACCTAGGTCATTACATTACATAACACATCCACAACCACATAGCTACTTAGTTATTACAGATACCAAGTTGACATTTTCTATATCCACGATTAACTTATATCTACTAAGTAGCCACCCATAGGTATAGGTACATTAGTATTTTTTTATGGAATAGAGGGCAAACAACACACGGGTCACCTGATAGTAAGCGATCAGCGTCGCCCATGAACACCAGAGGAGTCACAGTTCACCAGTCATTGTTTAGATTTAGTATATGACTATAAATCCTTAAACTATAGAACTAACTCAGCGCCTGTACGAAACGAATAGCAACTTTTTTAACTGCTAGGTTCGTAGCGTTCGTTCAGCGTTATTCATCTGTAAAATAAAATTTAACATATTCGCGAATTAAAATATTATCGTATAATACGTACCTAAATAAATACATTTAATTACCTACACTATTTTCTGTATGATAGAAAATACTGATTCACACCCTGGAACTTGTTACTGTAGGTACCTTAATATTTAGTGAAAACTTTGAAAAGTGTGTGATGTATGTGCACCCCTTCACTTACTATCTCGGGGATCAAAAGGCGTGTTTCTATATTATTATGTAACAAAAATACTAATTCATAAACTTGAATTTGTCGGTTGAACTCAAGTTCATATAAAAAAGTAGTCGTAGGTCGCAAAAAACACGCTGTTACTTTTTTCTAACATTGCGTATCTGTTAAGGCAGTATTGTGCTTATTTACCTCTGTGGATGGTAAAAAATAAACGTTATCAATCTAGTCAAAATAAGGAAATTCTAAATTAGAGTGCCTATCTAAAAAGCTTGCTGTAGTTAATTTCAATTCAACGACGCAAAGAAATTAATTGGAAACTCTAATTTTAGTTATTTTTGTTGTGAATGGTTAGAAAGATAAAAACTAGGTTTAAATATGGACAGGCTAGACTACCTATGACGCAAATTGAACAAAGGATTAAACTATCACTCTTAAAGTATGACTAATGTTACTCAACTAGAGTGAATAACTCTACGGAAGGTCTAATTTGCGAGGAACTTTAGATGGAGTCAAGGAAAACTGACCATTATGCCGTTATTAGATACTATGCTATGTTGTGCAGAGTATAATAATACGTTTCTGAATACCACTTTTCGCTGGTTTGGTTTACAGCACTTACAGTCGACTATTGACAGAGAACAGAATAAGGACATAGTAGGACTCTGACAAATTTGAACCTATTCTACTGCGGTCTCCTGTGAAGACTGTGCAAACCCTCACGTGCCACCATTCTTCATTGTTGATAAAATACCTATATGTAAAACCTGTTTCGACCGTGGGTGCGGTCGACGCCGCCATGGGGCTTCGGTTCGAAGTAGGATTAAGAATGGTGTACTTTATAATTAGTAAGAGACTAATATTCCTTCCAGCGCGAGGAGACAATGGATGATTCCCCCCTTAAAAAAAGGGTTTAAAACCTCTGTATACTTTAAGAAGTAGCAGGTGTGATGATATTTGAGAGCTCATGATAAACTGGCTCTCTTAAGTACCTTACTAGGTACTTAACAATGAGACAATAAAATTACTTTCTTCCGCGCCTTGCATTAGCTAAGTAGGATATGGGTCAGTTAAACTTTGAGATTGGCTGGTAACCTATTTGTGCAACAGTGCATACTTTAACAAGCAGTCATCAACAGGACCTAGGAATTTAAACCCAGAAAAGTCTATGTTTATAACGGCTGAAAGTAAAAAAAAAGTGTTGAGACCCAGAGCCATACAAAATAGTGGCATTTTCGAAAACAATTTCATAATTTTTATGAAAATTTTCACGATTTTGGATTCGAACTCTGTTGTTTTGTTAGGGGGAAAATCATCGAATGTTTTCTCCCGCCTAGGTGCAGCAGAAGGGTGTGTCCGACTCTTATTAACTAAAAACCGGCCCGTTCCTACACCTGTCGAACCGGAGCCCCGGTAACCTGTTAAATTCTCCTCGGCTCTGTAAACCTTGTTGTTTACCTCTCTCTGATCTGTGACTTTAGCCGAAACGCCACTTTAGCGCTTGTCTACAGAGAGAGTAGAAATCAAAATATATGGGGATGACACTGGTAAGCTTATTGTTGATCGAAACTGGTAAGTGTAAAAATTTACGTCAATTCCATATAATTTGGTTTTCTATTCTACATGTAAGTGTGGGAGAGCCATGCTTCGGCACGAATGGACCGGCTCGACCGGAGTAATACCACGGCCTCACAGAAAACCGACGTAAAGTAACGCTTGCGTTGTGTTTCGTCGTGTGAGTGAGGTTGCCGGAGGCCCAATTACCCTCCCCTTCCCCAATCCCTGAATCCCAATCCCTGAATCCCCAACGATCCTCAAACTCTTAATCCCCAAAAGGCCGGTAACGCACTTGTAACGCCTCTGGTGTTCCAGGTGTCCATGGGCGACGCCGATTGCTTACCATGAGGTGATCCGTCTTATAGTTTACCGGCTTATGCCATAAAAAAAAATGTAGACAAGCGTTAAATGGCATTTGGCTACAGCTGCTGATCTCTTATTCGACAATGAAGTTGAAAATATCTCTTTGATGATAACATTAAAATTACAAGTCTTAAATCTTCCCCTTAGGCTGAAGGGAGACTTCGTGTAGGTATATTTTCTAGCTTAAGGTCAAAAATACTGTGAGCTACTCATTTATTAGACCTTGTTTGTTAAGTTACAACTTGTTAAATCCGTGTCCTACTTTGTACAGAATTGTCTCTAATTATACTAATTAAGAATACATTTTGTTTGTTTATCTCCATATTGGATGAGGGGCGACGGTTTGCTATTTACTTGAGTCGTTCACACATTTCAGCTATATAGTATATTGTGTGTAGGTAATAACAAGATTACAGAATACCATGTAATTACAGAATCACGTTTTTTATTTTCATGAATAGTAGAGTAGCTTGCAAGTCTTAAATTCCACGGTCGTTTTTAAAATAGGTAATTATAATTATAGACATCGGAAATAAGGTCTATAATGGAGTGAGTGGACTATTTGAAGATACAAAATAATGCGTAGATACTTTCTTATTACTTACTAGCTTTTGCCCGCGGCTTCGCTCGCATCACAAAAGGATAAAAAGTAGCCTATGTGACATATACCAATACACACAGCGCCATCTACACCAATACTTTTGTTTTCCCTCGGGAATATCAAAATTTTCTGGGATAAAAAGTACCCTATTATTTAATCCGGACTTTTAACTTTACGTCTGCAAAATTTCAAAGCAATCGGTTTAGAATTTATGGCGTGAAAGCGGAACAAACAAACAAACAAACTCACTTTCCCATGTATTAGTAAAGGATAGGTACGTCACACTGTGACGTTCTCCATTGCCCCCAAATTGGATTCGAAATCTGGACTATTGAAGTTCTAAGCAGTTCTTTCTTCTTAAATCCACCTTTCCTAAACTTTCTCCTGATAAAATCAATAAAATTTCAATAAAACAACACAAAAATTAAAACGAATAATATTTTATTAGGTACTTAGTTCACAGGAAACTTTTTATTTGTTAACATAAATATAATTATCTATAACATTTACATCTCAATGAGTGTTCATTCATAGCTTTTGCCTTATTTTAACTTTTAAAATAATAATATTAGGTACAAATAATTTTAAACTGTAATAACTTCAGGTACTATGTGGAGATGTGTCTAATTATAAGAGTTTTCAAAACATAACGACATCACCTTTTAACCTGAGTGCTCTGATTGGCCGGTTCTAGTGAACCAACCAATCAGAGTGGTTTGGTTTTAGTTTCTTCACTGGAGCCAGCCAATCAGAGCGCCCGCCGATCGCGCTTGATACTCTTATGTTACGAATGCGATGGTTATTCGTGCTTGGCACTCAGAAGGGTAGGAGGACTCAGGTTTCGTCCACAAAACTGCGATGCGATGCGAATTCGCAACGCAGAAAATTACGATGCGAATTGCTGCGATGCGATTTCGTACGACACCTGTCTCCATTCAAGGGTGACCATTCCTTCTACGACCGTCAACCGTACTAAACGGATTTTAAATTGAAAACTAGATCGTAACATGGATCGTAAAAAGAAGTTTGCACTTCTGATATTGCTTAGGAGATACAGGAAAAAGAAACAAATAAGATTTTGCGAAGATAAGATTTTGATGCGCGATGCGAATCAATTCGCACATTTTTGCGATGCGACGTCGCATCGCAGTTTTGTGAACGAGCCCTCATGAACCAAAAAGTATATATTTAACTATGAGATCTTAAATTGATTTATTTTGTAGAGTATCTATCTAGTCTAAATCAATTATTAT